CGCGCGAGCGACGGGCGGAAAGACCAGCGCGCGCGCGCCTGGGCGCACGCGTGAGACACGCGGTCTCCGACCGCCGCTGCCAGGCGCAATGCGTCGAAAGCCCGGCGCCGTTGCGTCCGGGGCAAAACCGACCGGTCGCCCCCCGCCGCGCCCCGGCCGAACGCATTCGCCAGCGCGGCCGCCCCTGCTCGATCTCAATCAGGCTCGTTTCCTTCGGGGGGGCCGCGGGCGCCGCGCGCGATGAGTGGTCTGAATTTCGTGAGCTCCGCGCAGACGAACGGACGCTCGACGCGCCCGGCCACTGCGCGGAGCACCACGTTGGCCAGCGCGTCGGTCTCGATCGACCTGGTAGACGGGGGCTCCTCCGGCGAAGCGGGGGAACAGATGCGCGGTCACCGCGGCCGCGGCGACTGTGGAAGGTCGCTCGAGGCAACGCGGGCTACGCCCGCGCCGATGTCGATATGCCCCCCTCTTGGCGCTGGCCCGGCGCTCTGCGATGGCGCGCGCTGGGGCGTCGCGCCGACGCGCGCGCTGGCCCTCGGCGAGCGCGCCTCGGCGCCCGCCACCGTCGCGCGATCCAGGGCACGCCGCGCGACTCCATTTGACGGCGTAAGGGCGCCATCGGCGCCCAGCGCATAGGCCCCTGAACTGAGCGCGCGCTAGAACTTCAGGCGTTGCAGGCCCGTTGGCTGCAAGGCAACCGACCGCGCTCTTGAACTGGATGTCGGGCCACTGCGCACCCACGACAAGGTCAAACACAGGAAAGCAAACGCCGCCAGTGCGAGCGCGTCGCCCCTGGGCGCTCGCAGAGCTCCCGCGCGTCGGTGAAAACTGCCTGGCTTGCGGCGACCCGCGCGCCCACGCATTGGCATGTAGTTACGACGATGCAAAGGGCCAGTAGAGGCCCCAGCTCACGATGGACTCTTGTTTCAATCCACATGGAACAGCGATGGACACTATGTCGCTATGGTCGCCTGGGTCAATATGAACGCACTTTAACGGGCGACGAACGGTATGACATCGGAAGTGAAAGGGTGAGACCGGAGTGGAACGGAGAGCCCCCATACCGGGAAATCGGTTTCGGTTCCGTGTTCGTGCGCGCCGTGCGTGTGGGCGAGGCGAAGCTGCGTGGGCGGGCGAGAAGAAAGTCTCCTCTGGCTGAGGCGCGGCCGGACCAAATGATTCCTCTCCGGGGGCAGGTGCCGCGCGGTGTCCCGCCGGTGTCCCGCCTCCGGCTGAGGCGCGGCCGGACCACATGTTTCCTTTCCGGTGCCGGTGCCGCGCGGTGTCCTGCCGGTGTCCCGTCGGTGTCCCGATGATAATGATGATGTCGATGATGTTGATGATGACGATGATGGTGATGGTGGTGATGATGATGGTGTCCCGATGAGGACGATGATGATGTTGGCGATGTTGTTTGTGATGATGATGGTGTTGGTGATGATGGTGATGTCCTGACGATGATGATGATGATGATGATGGTAATGATGCTGTTGCTGGTGATGATGATGGTGTCCCGATGATGATGACGTAGATGGTCGTGATGATGTTGATGAAGATGAGATGATGGCGATGATGACGAAAATGAAGATGATGGTGTCCCGATGGGGTTATGGTGAGGTTGACGATGATGCTGTTGAGGATAATGGTGATGATGATGGTGTCCCGATGATGGTGATTATGTTGATGATGTTGATGACGATGATGGCGCCCCGATGATGAAGATAATGGTGATGAGGTGATGATGATGTCCCGATGATGGTGATGATGATCTTGGTGACGTTGATGACGACGATGTTGATGATAATGCTGATGATGACGTGGATTGTGAGATCGATTGCGATATCGATAATGAAATCGATACTGACACCGAATGTGAGATCGATTGTGAGATCGATAGTGGGATCGATCGTGAGATCGATTGTGAGATCGATAATCAGATCGATTGTGAAATCGATCGAAAGAAACAGACCGAATGAAATCGATTGTGAGATCGATCGAGTGATATCGATCGAGCGAGACCGATAGTGAATCGATAATGAGATCGATAGTGAAACCGATCGAATGAAACGTTGGTTCCTCCCCCCCCCCTCCCCGAACCTCCTTATCACACGAAAGGTGGTCGTATAGGTAAACTGTTCCGCTGTCGAGGGCGCCTCTCCCAGGGCGGCTGGAAAGTTTATACCCTTACGGTGGCGCGTCAAGGTCTAAAGTTTCCAGCCGCCCTGGGGCAGGCGCCCCCGACACCGAAACAAATTAGTGTACCTATACGACCACCCTTCGGGTGATAAGGAGGTTCGGGGGGGGGAGAGGGAACCAACGTTTCACTCGATCGGTCTCACTATCGATCCCACTATCGATATCAGTATCGGCCTCGCTCGATCGGTTTCCCTCGATCGATATCACAATCGATCCCAGTCGATATATTTCATTCGATCGGTCTCACAATCGATCTGGCTACCGATCTCACAATCGATCCCACGATCGATCTCACGATCGATCTCACAATCGACATCACATTCTGTATCACTATCGATATCACTATCGACATCACAAACGATCTCACATTCAACGTCATCATCATCATCAACATCGTCGTCGGCGTCAACGTCATCAACATCATCAAAATCATCATGATCATCATCGGGACACCATCATCAGCATCACCTCATCACCATCACCATCACCATCATCATCATCATCACCATCATCATCATCATCGGGACACTATCATCGTCACCATCATCATCATCATCAACACCAACACCACCGGGACACCAACATCATCATCGGACAATCACCATCATCAGCATATCATAATCATCATCATGAACAACATAATCCATCATCTCATCATCATCATGAACAACATAATCACTATGATCATCATCATCATCATCATCGGGGCACCATCATCATCAGCAACATCATCACCAATATCATCATCATCGGGACACCGGAACACCATCCGCATCATCACCATCATCATCATCATCGGAACACCATCATCATCAACATCAGCATCATCAGCACCATCATCGCGCCACCATCATCAAAATCGTCAACACCACCTCATCATCGTTCTCACCAACAACATCATCATCATTGAGACACCATCATCGTCATCATCATCATCATCGGGACACCATCATCATCACCATCATCACCAGACGCATCATCATCAACCTCATCATCATCATCATCGGGAGGGACACCATCATCATCATCATCATCTTCACCATCGTCATCATGATCTCAGTATCATCTCATCATCATCAACATCATCATGATAATCAACATCATCGCCATAATCGGGACACCATCATCATCAGCAACCTCAACAACAACATCAGCAGCATCGGGACACCATCATCACCACCACCATCACCATCAACATCATCATCATCAGCAACATCGTCAAGACCTCCATCATCGGGAAACCATCATCATCACCACCATCACTATCATCATCATCATCATCATCATCCACATCATCGACATCATCATCATCATCATCATCATCGGGGCACCGACGGGACACTGGCGGGACACCGGCGGGACACCGCGCGGCAGCTGGACGCCGGAAGGGGGTCATTTGGTCCGGCCGCGCCTCAGCCACAGCGGGACACCGGCGGGACACCGCGCGGCACCAGTTGCCGTAAGGGAGTCATTTGGTCCGGCCGCGCCTCAGCCACAGGAGACTTTCCTCTCGCCCGCCCACGCAGCTTCGCCTCGCCCGCACGCACGGCACGCACGAACACGAAACCGAAATCGATTTCCCGGTAGGGGGGCTCTCCGTTCCACTTCGATATCACCCCCCAACCTCCGATACAGTTCCTCGCCTGCTAAAAATAGAGGCCCCATGGTCACCAAACATGATATGGACGCGGGCATCATGGGATGGTCACTATGGACACGATCGAACGATACCACATGGTCACTATAGACCAGATAGAAGCCCCGGCGGGCAAGCGACGGGCAAGCGAACGCGCCGGGCCACTATGGGCCGCGACAAGGCCCAGTGTAGTGGGCTGCAAGACCCCCAACGGGAAAACGGGTCGAAGCCCCTTGCCGCGGCACGGTGCTCATATCCCGCCCCAGCGCCGTGCGGGGGAACCGCGGCACGGCACCCGGCGGGGCAACCAGGGGACAGGGCGGTTGAGCCTGCGGGAGCGGCAGCTGGGGCCACGCGACAGGGCTGCTGGCTCAGGCGCCGATGAGGCGACTAGCAGGGCAGGTGGGAGGTGTGGCTGCTGCGCAGGAACACGCCAACGGGCGGCACGTTGCCGCAAATCGCGCGGGGAAACCCCGGCGATGGCCGGAGCGAGAAAGCGGGAAAGAGCCGAACTCAACCGGTGCAGGAATCACAGCCGGGTGCGGCAAAAACGCCACGCCACATTCACCCACTCTTGCAACCGGACAATTAATGCCTGCCATTGCCCGGCTCACTAGTGCGCGCGTGCGGATCGCCTCTGCCGCGCTGCGACCGAAAACATGTTCCCCGCCCCTCCTCCTGCACCCTCTTTCCTTCCTCCTCCCTCCTGCCTCCTGCCTCGTCCTCCCTCTCCTTTTCTTCTGCTTCCTCACTCGCCCTTGCTCCACCCTCCATGCCTCACCATTATTCCCTCCCCTTCGCCCGCCTCCTCACTCAACCATGATGCAATGCCCCACCCCCCCCTTCTACTACCTCTTTCCTGCTCTCTCCTCCTCCTCCTCCTCCTCCTCCTTTTCCTCCTCCTCTTGCCCCTCCTGCTCGTCCTCCTCCTCCTCCTCCTCCTCCTCCTACTCCTCCTCCTCCTCTTCCTCATCTTCCTCGTCTTCCTCCTGCTCCTGCTGCTGCTGCTCCTCCTCCTCCTCCTCCTCGTCCTCCTCCTCCTCCTCTTCTCAGCCCTCCTCCTCCTCCTCGTCCTCCTCCTCCTCCTCCTCGTCCTCATCCTCCTCCCATTTCCCCCTCGTCCTCATCCTCCTCCCATTTCCCCCCCCCCGAGAAAAGAAAACTCCTCGACGGGTCTGGCGTAGAACCAGCGCTGTCGCCGCCGTCGCCGACGCGGCCGCCCTCGGCAGCGGCGCCGGCCTGGTCCTGCAGGGAAGCGCCGTTTTAGCCCCGAGCGAGAGCGCCGCCGCCGCCGCCGCCGCCGTCGTCGTCGTCGCCGTCGTCGTCGTCGCCGTCGTCGCCGCCGTCGTCGTCGTCGTCGTCGCCGTCGTCGTCGTCGTCGTCGTCGTCGTCGTCGTCGTCGTCGTCGTCGTCCGCCTCGACATGGGCCCGCGAGCGCCCAGGGCGAGACCGAATCGAACAACCAACGTCATCTGCAACTCCGCGTCGCTCGGAGCGTGGGCGGGGGAGCGCGGAAGGCAACGGGCCGAGGACGGACGACGCCGGCGAGCCCCGAGCGGCCCCGCGCGCGCCACACGGGAGACAGTCGGATGGAGCTCTTCTCCTGACTCAGGCGGCGCGCCCGGGGGGAAGCGAGAAGGGGCGGGCCATCTCAGGAGGCTCGGAAGCTTCCCCGGCCTTCTGAAAAGTGGTCGAAGCCATCCCCGAAGGCACAGAAACCTCTCAGAAGGCGCGAGGGCCTCTGAGAAGTCCTGCCACATTCTCAAACCGCCCTCTCCCTCTCACTTCCCCCCTCGCTCACCGCCGATGCCTTCGGTAGAGGATGAGCAAGCTGCACTCCCGAACATGAGCACCTCGGAGGTCTGCACTGCACGGACTTCGTGGATCGGCGCAGGGCCCCCCTGGCAGCGCCACGAGCGCGGCCCTTGGCGATCCTGAAACGCCCGCGCCGACCTCCGAAAAATGATGTTTACGTGTTGCTCGTTGTTTTCCCGTCAGGTGCTCCTTGCAAGCAGTTCTTCTACCAGGAAGCCGCTTGCACACATGGGCGGACTCACACGCGGCACATTCGGAGGCCACGCGCTGCGATACAAATGAGAAGGCCCGGCCTGCACGGCCATAGAAATGCCGAGTGCTGGAAAACACATGGAGACATGCGCATCTAATTCTCACCTAAGCTGGCCGCGTCATGTGGCCGATCCGGGAAAAAGCTGGATCCAAAATCATCGGCGCCTCGTGCTTACTTTTGCGGCCTTCCGCCGCCCGTCCGCCGGGGGACCCATTTCCGCTTTGATTCCGCCAGCTGCCGCTGGCCTTCTGCTCGCTTCCGCCGAAGGGGAGGGTGCGCCGAAGGCGAACCCTTGGTGGAATGCTCTATGTGTACCAGCTTCCTGGCACACTGCAAACAAGCCTGCAACAGCCAGCACGTCTGGGAGAGCTGGCCGTTGCAGCACTAACGGGAGCACCGCCGCACGCGCGCGTGACGACGTTTCGCGCGCTGCATGCTCCCCCACTGGCTCCACCCCCATCCTCCTGCTACGCCTGTCTCCTCATCACCCTCCTCTTTCTCCTCCTCTTCCTCCTCCTCCTGCTCCTCCTCCTCCTCCTCCTCCTCCTCTTCTTCAACCTTCGAGCTTCGAGCTGCGGATACTGTCCAGCGATGAGAGCCCCGATGCCGTCGATGGCCCTCCGACCAGCCAGTGCTTGGGAGGGGGTGCGAAGAAAAAGCAAGAGGTAAAGAGAGAAGGAGAAACGACCGAACGGCGAAGCGAACAGGAGGCAGGCGGGGGAGGAGGCGAGGCTGTAGGCGCCAGCGCACGTGCTGAGATGGCCCGACCGTGGGTCCCCCCCCCCTCCCTGGGGGGAAGAAGGGGCCTACCTGGACTCGTCCCCAGACGTGATGCCCGACCTTCTCTGGAGGTCCAGGTGCGAGTGCTAAGCGGCGGCAGCACGGCGAGGAATGGCGGTGCGGGTGGGGGTCGGGTAAGGGGACAGGGGCGCTGGGAAGATCAAGAAAAGCAGGCACAGCGGGCGTGGCGTGGTGGCATGAGGGGTGAGCGCAAGAGGTGGGAATAGACTGGGCAGGTAAATGGAGGAGGTGGCCCGAGCGGCGCCACCACCATCAGGGGGGAGGGTGATGGCTCCCGCAGCCAGGTGGTCCACAGCCGCCGTGGGGGTGTACCCCGACGGCGGCCTGTGCCGATGCTGATCCGTAGGTGTTCTCCCGACCCGCCCCCTCTACCCGATCCGTTCCTCTTCCCTCAGGTGGCGGCGGGGGAGATGCGGAGGAGGCTAAGGCGGGGGGAGCGGGGGTTGTGGTCAAGAGGGAAAGGTGAGGCAGGTGTAGGTTAGAGAAGGATTGAGGTACCTGAGAAGGGGGTAGAGGACGTAGAACGAGGAGTAGACAAGGTCGACGCCTCAGTCGCGGTCCATGCGGTAGGAGGAGTAGCGGAGGTGGGAGTTGACATAGTGGTGGTTGGGGCGTAGAATAGTGCTCCCTCGAGTGGTGGTACTTGTGCGTAGAGGTTGCTGCTACCTGTTTCAGCCGTGAGAAATAATCGTCGGAGTGTGACGTAGCTGCTGCGCCGCGTTGGAGTGAGCTGATGCTGGTGCTACTGCTGCTGCTGTTGCTGCTGCTGCTGCAGCTGCAACTGGCATAGTGTGCGTAGATTGGCCTCCTCCTCCTCCTGCTCCTCTCCTTCCCCCTCCTCAGCCTCCTCCCTTCCGTATCACCTCATACTCCCCCTCCTCTGCCACCATCGTCCTACCTTGAACCTTGCTGTGATCCTCTTCAACCACCTTCCCCTCCTCCTTCTCCTCTTCCTCAGCTTTCTTCTTTCCACTTGTTGGGCCACGCCGGCCTCGCCCGACGTCCCCCCCCGCCAGGGCAACGCCGACTGGGGACTTAGTAACTCTCGCGGTTGCGCCACGGTAAGCTTCATACGGTCGGGAACCTTTGCTTAGCGTGTCGCCGTGGCGGCCCCAGCGACACGCGATGCCTGGCAAGCGGATGACGTGTCGCTCTGCTCCGCGGGCCAGGAGGCTTGGAAAGGCTCGGAACGTGGACGCTTGGAGATGAGGTGGATGGCGTGTCGCGCTGGAGGCGGTAGGCCAGAACCGGCGGAGCGACACGCTGTCCCAAAGCTCCTTACCGTAGCTCAGCTCCCAGGCGCCACTCGTCGCCCCCCCCCCGTGGAAGGAGCCCGCAAGCGCGGGCAACGGGCATTCGCAGGCAGGACGGCCACTTGGCACCCACGGGGGCTCCAGAGGGGCTTCGTGCCCGCTGGAGGCCTTCGACACGCCACCAGTCGGGCAATTGCTGCGCCATCCCGAGAGACAGTCGTCGGCCCACACAAGTACTGCGCTTAGCTGCCCCGATACGCAACACGCAGCCCGTACGGTGTTGACACGAAAACCAGCATGTACGTCGAATACGTAGGTCTGCCGCGATACGTTCGCCAAAACGCGGGCCAACACGTGCGTGATACGTGATGAACACGGTCCGTGTTGCGTTTCACCAAGCGCGTATTAGGAAAGCTATATAACAATCCACTACGCACAGCCTACGCATAGGCCTATGATAGGCCTGTCCCTAGGCTACGCATAGGCTTCTGACGCACGCGGCACACAGGCCCTTTGAAGGCCTATCGATAGGCCCATGGTAGGCCTATGGGTAGGCAATACCTAACCTTGTCGTAGGCCTATCGACAGGCTGTGCATAGGCCTACGACAGGCCTGTCGACAGGTTGTGTATAATCCACCATGGGCCTATACATAGGCCAACGCATAGGCTATGGATAGGCCTGCGATAGGCCTATAGGCAGGCTGCGCAAATCCCTATGATAGGCCTACACAGAGCCTGTGTGTAGGCCTATGGTAGGTCTATCGGTAGGGTGCGTGCAGGTCCGCGACAGGCCCATGCGCGCGCCTGCAGTAGACCTATGATAGACCTACGACAGGCCTACGGTAGACCTATGGTAGGCCTTCGGTAGACCTAGTACGAGCTGTCCGCAGGCCTGTGGTAAGCTTATCGGTAGGATGTCGATAGGCCCATCGCGGGGCAGCTGCCGTCGCCAGAGGAGAAGGAGGAGGAGGAGGAGAAGGGGGATAAGGATGAGGAGGAGAAGGATCAAGAGGAGAAGGAGGATGAGAACGACGGGCAGGAGGAGGAGGAGGAGCAGGGGGAAAGGGAGGAGCATGAGAAGAAGGAGGAGGAGACTACTTCATAGAGATCTTAAATGGCCAGGCCAATTCACACAGGGTGCTTCTGATTTGGGTACTTAGCGCGGACGTAGCAAGAGACGACGTCACGGGCGACCTCCGCTACCTTGCCATCGCATGCTTTCGGATCGGGCTCATCCGAGCGTTTTCGGCGTCATCTGCGAGCCCCTGTGTGAAACATGAATGAAGCCCGATGGCAGTTTCGTAGGTCCGGGAAAGAGCCAAAGCCAGTCCGAGATTGTGATTGGCGGTTTGGCCTTCCCGGGATGACAAGCAAGGAAGCAGAGAAGGTCGCCATCGGAAGTGTTCTGGTGAGGACTTCGTATTTGCTGCGCACTGCGCGACAGGCGCGCCACGTGCCCAGCATCCTTGAGCACCCAATTCGCGAATGGTGGCAACCTCGCGTGGCGTCATGCTGGATGATGCCCGAGATGCAGTTGTTTTACCCCCGTGCAGCTGCGAGGAAGCTCGCGCTCGATCAGTGCTGCACAAGGGCAGCTTCCTGACAAACAACGACCCTTGTTTGCATGAAACTCCCCTGAGCGATCCCCTGTGTCAGCGACCTCCCCGGGGCTTGGAGGCCCAACCACGTGGGACATGCCGCCTCGATCGAATTCAATGAAACAATAAAAGGAATGGCGCGCAGCGAAGCTGAAAGAGTTCCAGTCTCAACTGTGCCGCCCCCCCCAGCTAGCGTCTTCGTAGATACGATGGGAGTCGTCCTTTCCAATGGCAGCTGCGGCTTTGCGCCGCCACAGATTTGCCAAGTTTGTTAGAGCCCTCGGTTATGATCTTCAGCAGCACATCGCAGCACGCGCTGGGGCAAGCAATCAAGACAATAGCGCACAGCTGGCGCAGCGCTGGAGCCCAGGGCCACTGCAGGAAGAACAGGAGACGGAGGCTCATCGACAGGTAGGTGAAAGCGACGAGGTCGCAAGCGAAGGAAAGGGAAATTGAGGAGCGAACGCGGTTATGCACAGCCTGTCTGACTTTCCGGCCCCATTCTGCCGATCTCTTCCGAAGCA